TCTCCATTCCAAAGCTGCTTATTTCAAGATTCCAGATATCACCTCAGAATTAGGACCAGTGTTACTGATTTCATGGGTTGTAGAGACAGAAATGTAAATGTTTCTGCTCTCAAGTTCCATCTGCATGTTACCATAAGCTATGGTGAAAGTTCATTGGTATGAAAGTTATAAGGCTTTGGGTGAATTTCAACTATCTATGGGGGGGGAGAGCACGTGCTAGAGAGAGAAGAGAAGAGATTATGCTTCTAATTAGTGACTCAAGTATTAAAGTAATCTTACTGTCCTTAAATACCTCCCCTTTTCAAAGAATGTCTTTCTAAATCATTAAACCTGGGGTTTCTTCCAGGCCTTATTGGTCTCTGTCAGTAAATAACTTAGCAACCACCCTTTCAGAAGGCTTTGCAATTCACAGAATTCTAATAAAGTAACCTTCTTGAACAAGAACGTGGGGCCTATACTGCTGCCCTCATTTGACAATAGAAATCCCAGAGAATGCTGGTGATTTATTTAGAGCTTTCCTCTTGTTTAAAGTGATTTCCTCATTAACTCCCTAAATTTAAGGGAAAGATATGCCGTCCTGCAAACCTGACTTTAGTATAATTTCACTGAATGGCACAGGGTACTCATCAGCAAATTAAATATCTATTTACACAGATAGCACACAGAAGAGAAAATGGCTGTCAACCTTCAGCACTCTTTTTTAGCAATTCTTATCTGGAGAAAATTGCTTTTCTTTGCTTAGCAGTAAAATGCAGAGTTACTGCCTTATACATAAGGGTAGAAAACTGAAAAATTTTTCATCAAGAACTACAAATCAGTAAGTCTTATGATCTCAAAGCTGGTATAATAATCGAGCTAAATTGTCTTAGACTGGGCAGTGTTCCTGCAATTCTTTGAAGCATATTCACTGTTTCCTTGAGTAAAATTGAGGGCTGACCTCCATTTACAGAAACACAGAAACAAGTCTCATAAATGCTAATATTTCTCTACCAAGTTCTTCAGAACAAGGCCATTTCACCTAAGCCCATACATTTTCAGTGCATGATTTAAGTAAACTGAACAAAAAAGAAAGCCTTGGCTGGATGCTCCAGCATCCCCAATGACCCATCGTCTCCTATATGCCGCAGAAATGTACCGCTCAGTGTAGGTCGTTATTACCTTTTTAATATCCATATCTTAGCAGATATTTGTACAAACACTGTACAAAGCACTGCTAAAATAATCTGTAAATATAGTTGGGCTCTATCTCAAGTCATTAGTGTAATCAGTCTCTTTATATCTCATAAATACATGCAACACATGATTCTTGATGTTAGAGATTTAAAAATCATAACATTCAGTGCTCAACGGGCATTTACTGCATGTGGTACTCAACTAGGCATTTTCTGTGCATTATCTCTTCTAATCCTCTCACAACCCAATGGAGGAGCTGTTCTTACTTATAGATAAGGACACTAACGCCAAGAGAAAGTAACCTGTTTATCCAAGGATGTGCAGCAGAAAAGTAGAGGAGTTGGGATTTCATTCCAGGTGGTCAAATTCCAGACACTCTGCGGTCCCTTTGTTCAGCAGCTCCCTTCACACAGAGGCCAGCCAGGGCCTGCCAAAATGAAGTCTAGTCCATGGTGTCTCTGCCAGTTCTAGGCAGAGATAGGAAGCCAGCTCCCCATGATCTCCCAAGCTCTCTTATTTATGCCTTCTCCTTCCCCCAATGGATGCCTTTCCTGGTTCTCAGCCCTGTGCTTCACAAACGTAAACGCGCCTCAGCATCACAAGGGTGAGCCCTTTAGGAGATGCCTGCAGAAGACTCTGGAGGTTATAGAGAGCAGTGATAGATGAGGTAGCCCTCAGTGAATAATATAGAAATGGCTTAAAAAATAGAAGCAAAGGCAGGGAGTCAGAAAGTGGAGTGGGGCCGAGACTGAGAGGGCAGCCAGAAGGCCCTGTCCCGTGTGGCTGCCCCAAAGTGCCCATAGCAGGCAGTGGGTAAGTGCTTGACTAACATCCAATTTTTAAATTCTCTGTGAAATATCAAAGATTATTTTACACATGAAGACTTTACTAGAATTCAAAACAGTGTCGTGTTCAGAGCCTAAAGTGAAACAATTCCTCAGGCAGTAGGGCTGCTATTAACAGCAGCAGAGTCTAAAGGAACTTGACCCAGAAAATCAGGCCTGCTTTCAAATCAGGCATTATGGTTTTGTTGGTGGTCATTGTAGTGTGGTTGGTGCTCCTAGAAAGCCAAACTCTTCTAGTAGCCAGTGGAATTTAAGGAGACCCATTGGAATTTCAGTCACATCTTTGATAACTGCAGAATCTCTTAAGAGCTGAGGGCTTAGCATAAACCCGTGATGGCAAACCTTTTAGAGCTTTCAATGAAACAAATAGCCTGCTGTGACACAGGTGCCATAGGTTCACCACCACTGGCCTAGACCTCCTATTTTTTCATACTCAAACAGCAGTGAGCTCCCATATATCCATGAAGAAAAGAGATTCGCTGAGTGTTGGCGGGGCTGTGGGCGATGGTTTGAGGTATAACCCTTTATATATTTGGAGTTGTAGACATGATGGAGATTGGAGAAATGGGGTGACAGTCAGACCTAAGTTAAGTTTTGCTTGCCTTTGTGCTAGTTTGTAGCCTTAGATGTGCCCCTCAAACTCTGAGCCTTCGTGAAATAGGGATGATTAGATTGAGAAGAAAAGCCAAGTGCAATCGGGCCCCTGGAAAGAGCCATGCAAGTGGAAGTGTGCTCACTGTCCCCCTCCTGGCATGAGCTGTCTACTTGAGCAGGCAGGGCTCCGTCAGCTCAGCCTGGTTCTCCTTGGACGCCCTGCACATGGGCACGTGTGCTGGCTGCTCAGTCTCAGGGCTGGACCCGAGGAACTTTCCCAGTGCACCACTTCTAATTCCTCTCCGCCCTCCCTTCGTGGAATTAATCCCCTCAGAGTGAATCATAGTGTCCTTTATGGTATGAAAACATCAGAGGACACTGTGGTTCCCTTTGGGAGCCTGAGGTCTCTTCCAGCATCCCTGGGTTTGTGCCTTGTGGCCCGGAGTCAGCCTTCCACGTTGAGTCTCTGATTCTGCCCACAGCTGTCCAAGGGTGTTCCCTGCCCATCTGGAACAGGGTGTCTGTCACACACTGGCCTGCACTCACGAATGTGATTAAGAATGGCCTTGTAAAAAACAACTGTTAGAGGCAAAGTAGAATTTGGATGTGATCACATAAAACAGTTTTGAACAATGAGCTATCGGTGATTTGATTTATGAGTTTAACATTTCAAAGCATTTGCCATCTTGAACAAAGAGAATGCCTTTGTAAATCCTGCTGGCAAAAACTATCTAGTTCTTGGTTTTATGGTTTCTATCAAGAATGATCCCCCAAAGGCCTCATGTGCCCATAGGGGGCTCAGGAGGTGTCACTTTCCCCTGGTCTCAGTGAGAAAGGAGAACCAGCTACTGGACTATGGGCATGCCCCAAACAGTGGGAAAGCAAAGCACAAAAGGTGCCTTTTAGCTACCTGTTTTGAATTTGTGTCTGACAATTAAAATTCCAGCCATGGATCCAACAGAGTAACTCTTAGTTTCCCACTCCTTCCTCTTACGTCCTTTCATTGTAACCCTAACAACTGTCACTTATGTTTATTAGTAAAACATCTTGGAAAAGTTACCACTCCTGGAAAGAGAGCTCAGATGCCTCACTTGCTTTCTTCCTAAGAAAGCAGTTTCTTTGCCCACCCTCCCTTGCCAGTGAGACCCTTACCACCAGAGCCAGATTTGGATGCCTGGTCAATCACGGCAGAAGCGCAGTTGGCCGTGTTGAGTGATGGTGCCTGGCTGCACCGGTCCCTTTGGAAGTCATGGCAGCAGTGACGGTGTTCAGGTCAGAGATATCTCCTGCTATTGTAGAGCTTATGATCCTAGTAGGAGAAGGGAGAATGTGAACTAATGGCAACAGTGCGAGGCAGGACACGGTCCCTTTGTGATGAGAAACCCAACAGGAAGGGGGTGAAAGAGAAAAGAGATTGGATTGGGAGAGACTGGGGGCGAACAGGCACTGGAAGAGGGAGTAGGACCTTTGGTTGATGTAACTGTGGGAGGAGGGAGTTCAAGGCCAGTGGCGGTGTTGCAGAGCCGCAAGAGAGGAAAGGTACAGCCGTTTTGTTTCTCATGCTTTCTACTTCAGTGGTGTCGGTGATGCCCCTGCCCGCCTGCCTGCCTCAAGGATTGGGAAACTGTCTTGTTTAGTGTAGGTCTCTGACTCTTGCCATCAAGAACTGTGTGTTTCCTTTCCTTTTTACTATCCACAATCCCTGGGGGGTTGTTTCTGTAGTGGCTGATGTGTTGATATCATCACACACCGTATTTGCAGTCCTTTTCAGTAATGATTTCTGTGGTCTTTCACATAACTGTGAACACTGCACCTGCCCAGATGCTGGTCAGCAGCACTGCACTCCTGCTGTGTGGCCAGAGCGGGCCTGGCAGGCATGGCAGGTGCTCGGGTGGCTCAGGCAGGATTCTGCTTGCTGAGCAGGGTTGGAGCAGCAAGGATTGGGGAGGCCCAGAGCTGGAGCAGGAGAAGCCAGCCAGCACAGGTGGCAGGGGAGCTGTAGAGATGAATAGCAAGAAACAGAAGAAGACAGATGAGGAGCCCTGGAGACACATGGAAGGTTAAATGACGCAAATTATGGAGCATGGTGAGAGGAAGAATAAAAGCTGGAGGATTATCAGGAAGCACCAGATCCAGTCAAGTCCTGCCTGAGTCAAATTAAGTTCATAGACTGAACCACACGGCAAATATTTAGTTGATGCTGAAATTCAGAATTGACAGCTGAAGTAGAAATGTATTTATTATATGCTTTTTTCATGTTAAAATGATGACACCGAAGCGATTGGCTTTTTCCCCTGCCCGTGGAATCCTAGGGTTGCACAATGTCTTGTAAATGTCAAAACCATAGATAGGGAGTGTTTGATTCTCCCTTTTGCTTTCTCACTACAGGAAATAGCAGACCACCACTGTACGGGTTTCATCTCTCCCCAGAAGAAATGAGGAGACAACGGCTTTACAGATTTGATGGCCAGTGAGGTGGCTTCTTGGAAAGACATGGCCCAGTTGTGTCACCGCTGCCCATTTGGTTCACTCCCCAAGCCTCTGATTAGTTTTAAACAAAAGCAGAGTGCACAGTTCTCATCCCATATCGCTCCTACCTGCCATGGACCCTCACTCTGTGGCCCCTAGGAGTCCAGACTCGCGCCCGCCCACTGGATGGAATGTCTGGAAGCCAGGCTTATTAAAACCAGCGCACAGCCCTCTGAAAGTGGCCAGTCTCCTGGCCTTGTTCTGTACCAAACAGAAGACCACTTCCTTGGTGTCGGGACCAGTTTCTACACTCCTTTACCTGCCTCCTTCCTACTCAGGGTGCTTTCACATTGTTTTGATTCTGAAGACCGTGATTCACCAGGAGGTGCTGTTTTCACCAGTTTGATCAGCCCCTCCTTCAGCCCATGCTGGATGCTTGACTTGGCAGGAGGTGAGGCACCGTCCCCTCATCCTCCTGGCACGTTGCCACGGTGACTGTCCAAAGGACCTGTGGCTGCCTTCCCAGGGTGCTGTTCTGTTCTCCTTCCCCCCGGCACCTCAGCTCCTCCTTATAGTGTACTTGCTTTGCTCTCATTCCTTTGCCCAGAGAATGCTTTACTGCAGAAGCATAAGGAATGTCCAGTGTGGAAATGAGGCCTCCATGCTCCGCTAGGTATCAGTAACACCAGCAGTTGTGGTGGCAGAGCCACCCCTCCAGGGGCAGTAGGTGGACCTGGGAGGCGTGGCATTGAATCCTCAGAACAGCAGCAGGCGCCACGTGCAGAGGAGAGCAGACAGGAGACTGGTCACTAGAAATCCTCTCAGGAAGTATTCTTTCCCTTATAAACGCGCCTTTTAATTGGCCGCTGTAATAGCTGTTTGTCCTAGACAAGTGTCCAGAATATACCCCAGGGCCCTGCAGTATTACAGTACACAGATTATCTGTCCCGGTCTTGTGAGGCATTTCCTGGTTCTTGTGTTTCGTGAATTAAAGGACATAATGTCACTAATGTCTTGCTGTTATGGAGGTTTGGTTATTTGAGACAGGGTCTCAGCATGTAGTTGAGACTGACCTTGAACTCACTATGTAGCCCAGGCTGCTGCAGCGATCCTCCTGCCTCAGTTTCCTGAGTGCTGGGATTATGGGCGTGCGCCACCACACCTGGCTGAGATATTTTTAAAGAGAAAGAAGCAGAAAAGAATCTTTCTATTTTGACTCATCTGTCATTTTATATAGCTTTGTGATTGTGAAAGTTAGGGATGTACTTTCTCTGTATATAAAGCAAAGGTCTGGAAGGAAATGCACCAAATGTTAACAGAGGTTATCTTTGCAGGTGAGTACACAGGATTTTTGTGTTCTCTTTTTACAACTTTATGTGCCGTTTTTTAAAAATATGTGTATGTGAATGTACTGCATTTGAATTCAAGAAAACAGATTTATATAATCAAGAAGTAACCAGTGAAACACTTAAAAATAAGTATTGGATATCCATTGAGAAAATTCACAATATAACCAAAGAATAAATACATTATAAATAAATACATTATAAGATTTTAAAATCACCTGTATTCCCACTGCTTAAAGGTATCGGGCTTAACAATTTGGAGGTTCTGCTTTCTCAGTTTTTCTTTTATATAAACATTTGAGAAATTTGAAGTGTAGTGACTATGCAGTTATGTGTCCAATTCCTAATCTGAATTTACCTGGAAAAGGCCTTGACACATTCTTACAAATGAGCTAAGAAAGCCAGTAGAGGTGGGGACACCCTGACCTACTGCTGGCAGAATGGCTTAATTTATAATTGATGCAATACTAGGTTATTGATGATATGAATTATACTTGTGAGTCTGCTAGCTTTAAACATAACTTAGAGTTAAATGTTCAAGCCCAAATCCTTTCTCCAAAACTTAAGAATTTGAATTCCATTTCCTCAATGAGAAGTAACTACCTTCTTACATGCCCTCTTTTCATAGCACATGGAAATTCTAATATTTACTGCCATTATTATTACTATTACTACCATTAGTGCATAACGACACCAAGGCGTGCCTTCTGCATCAGCGTATGGATTATGAGTGAGCTCTATTTATGTTCCCACATGCCTCCCATCTCCCCTTTCTACCACTCAAAGACTTATAGTCGGGATTCATTAAATATTAGTTTTTCAAAGTGTTTTTTCAGTTGCATTATAGGTCAAATCACTTATATATGGAAGTATTTTTTTATATTTTGCTTGTATCCAGTAGTAGTACCTCCTTATTGTGTACAACCAAACACCAAGACACTGGAATCAAAGCTTGAATGCTAGAGCTATAATATATGCCTTATTTATGGAGTGGGACATCACCAAACATGTAAAGATGTGAAAAGGGCATTTATAAATATAAACCAGTTATTTTTACACAGCAATAAAGATGTTCTGGAAATTATTATAATTATTTTGTTCAGTTAATGGGCTTGCCTATAACCAGTGCTTATTGTTTTGAGTCCTTTCCTTGCTACAAGAAAGAATCCCCAAAGTATGCCAACAAACTGGAATTGAGGAAGACAGACAAAAGCAAGTGCATTAGACTAATTACCTCTAATGGAGAATAAGCTTTGAGAGCTGATTTTTAATTTGGTTTCTTTGCTTAGCAGTCATTTCCCGATTGTTGTGGTGGTGGTGGCCCAGGTCTGTAATCCCAGCTCCCTGAGTGCTGGAGGCAGGAGGATCCAAACTGAAGAACAGCCTGAGCGGCTCAGTGAGACAATGTCTTGAAAAATCAAAGGCTGTGAATGTAGCTCAGTGGCAGAGGACTTGCCTGTCATGTGCAAGACCTCGGACTCAATCCCTGATACCAAAACGTCATTAAAAAAGGATCATTTTTCTCCCTTTCTCTTCTCATGGATCAGAACAGTTATTTCCTCACTTCCTCTTTCTCCCATTTTAGAATCACAGACTCTCAGAAGGACTTTTAAGTCTCTGTTCTACTCACTACTTAAAATCACTCTTCACTCAGTTCTACATAACATTGCCACGTTAGGCTTTCAAAGTCCTTTTGCAGTGTCACTCATCCTTTCAAATACCTCTCGCTGTCTTTGAATTGTCAAAGGATAGAGGTCGGAGTCAGCATCCGCAGTGGGGCTCCAGGCCTCCATCCCTCAGCATAACAGAGCCTGCTCCCTGATGCCGCCTGGCTGTGAGTGCTGCTAGCGAGGCCTTTTCTGTGCTGGCCCCTGTACCTAGAACAGCCTTTTCTTCTCCCTTGGCCTGGCCACCAGACCTTTCCCAGACACCACAGGCCTGAGTGAACTTGTATCATCAGACCTACTGCATGCCTTGGGTCTGCAGCCCATGGTTTCCCCACACCGCTAACTAGTGTGGCTGGTTCTCAGAGAACGTCTTCCTCTTTCCTTTGTGTGTTTCACCAGGGGCCATGACCGCGTTTCTCTCCCTTCTGACAGTACCTTGAACAGTGCTTCGTCTCGAATGTCAGAACCAATGAATACTTGAGGATTGAAATACACAGAAGCACGCTTATACCATCACCAGGTCACCAGTGGTGCACCAAAGTAGTTCTCAAATGTGCACAAGTAAATCTGCACCATTCATGGTATTACCGTAAAGCGCACTGTTCTGGAAACAAATGAACATTTTACTACTCTTGAAAGTTTCCCTTACTGTTTCCAAACTGATAGGTAAAAGTAATTACTGGTTGAGAATTTCATCTTTGGCTAATAAAATCATAAACACTTATTATATAGTCACTGAGGCTGCAAGAAGTAACACTTCTGGCCCGTGGGAGAATGAGAAGGGCTCAGCTGGCTGGTGTGTAGCAGCCCGCAGGTCTGGGTCAGGATGGCCTCCACACTGTTCTTTCTCCACCTCGGAGCAGTTTCCCTGCCTGGCTGACCTTGGGTACTTAGGGGCTCCAGAGGCCTAGCAGAGATGGGCCTTCTGGGCTCCCCAAAATACCAGTTATCCAATGTCTGCATCCGCAGCAAGGCAGGAGCTAAATAACAGTATCCTGCAGTTTACATCTCTGTAGTTCACTTTCATGCCTCTCACCCTTCCATGTAACCTGTGAAGTGGTGTTTGAGCCAAGTACTCCTTGGTGCCTGATACAGGCCCTTGTGCCCTGGGGTCTGGTTTTCTTTCTCTCCCACCCTCCATCACTGGCTGCAGAACTGTGCTTCCAGCGCTCAGAATCCCATCCTTCCCAGCCCATACTCTTACCTTCTGCAGTTCACAGGCCCACCACGGAGCAGTCCTCCTCCTCCCTGCTAAGTCAGCTGCAGGTATAGGCCATGCGGTAAAGTAGGTTAAAAAGAAAAAGTTAACCCACTTTGGCTCAAAAGAAAATAAAACAGTTGTTTTGGGAAAGTCAAAATTTTATATACAGTGAACTACATTATAAATCAGAATACAGCAAAGATTTAAGGGTCAGTGGGAAACTAAGCATCTTGTAAAAGTTATGTGTTCAGAGTCTTTAGCTTTACAACCACAGGTTAGAGAATGGGATGCAATTTCACATTTTTTTCTCATGAAGGAATAAATATTTAAGCGCCATAAATTCAAGCATATCCCATGGATGTGGCAGCCAGCTTTGGTGGTTTAAAATGCATTATGCAGAGTTTCTGGCAGATAACAGTGACAGTTGTAGAATACTGATTTTTCATGTCAACTGTTTGTTCCCTGCAGAACTTATTGATAATGTCCGTGCAGGAAATTGTGATTTTTTTTTGGGGGGGGGTAGTACAGTAACTGAGAAATGAAATAAAAAAGCATTCCCAAAGACATTACAACTTGACCAGTTGTAAGTAATTCTAATCAGTAATACATATGCCCTGTGAGAATCACAATTCTATACACAAAGAACCCAAGAAATATCTTTCTTATTTATTTTAAATAGAAGATATGACCATAATCAATATATAACTGTTATATGCTAGACAGATAATCTAACTTGAATTCTCAACACAAGAATAGTGTAATGTCTTATAAATGAGGGAGGTACGTTCAGTGAGTTGGCAGAATTCATCCAGGGTAACAGCTGGAAAGTGGCAGGACCATGTCCAAATATGGGTTCAACCAACTAAAACCCTCACTGTTCTACCATTGTGCAGCCATACCAAGGTACAGTTTACAATTATGAAATTATCCCGGTGAGCTGATGTAACACAAATGTAATTTATTGGAACACAAGAAAGACTTGCTTTATAATCATCTAAAAGCGGCTCAAAAAAGATCCAAATTTTATAGACTATTCCACTGACTAGTTTTTCTTGATTTTACGTTTTTGTTTTTGGTGTTTTTTGTTTTGTTTTGTTTTGTTTTGTTTTTGGTACTGGGGATCAAACTCTGTCCTTTGCACTTGTGAGACAGGTGGCGGAACTACTGTGTCAAATCCCCGGCCCCTCCACTGACTGTTTTTCAAAGCACCAGTAACATATACAAACTTCATAGACAAGTTTTGCACCAGGAAGCTCTTAAATCCTGAGAGAATATAGATTACAATATGAGTTGTCAGGTGGCATTTCAATGAAGAGTTTTCTCTCAGACAAATCTCACAAATGTCATCATTTTTGAAATTTCAGTTTTTAGAAAAAATAATCTATTTTGGAGGCGGGGGGAATAAATTTATCAGTTGGCTTTGGGTCAAAAACTGTAATAGGAGATTGCGGGCATGCAGATCTGGTGCTTTTGAAGTAAGAAACGGTGTGTCCTCCTCATTTTCCCAATGAGGATGCAGAATTGTCACTGAATAAAAGAATGAAGTGTTAATATTATGTCCAGCTCTGTGCTAGCCCCGGGCATACATACAAGGACAAGGAAAACATGGTCCCTGCTCACCAGGGACTTTTGTTTTAGCCATGGAATGAAAGAAGTGTTCTGAGACCTTAGAGAAATAATGGAGAACAAGAGAGACAGCCCCATTAACTGTTCTGGGAGCAGCAGGAGGGAGTCCACGTGTCCTTGAGGGAATTTACATGCGTGCATGCCACTAATTCAGTAAGATAAGTACAATTCTGCCAAGTCAGGGGCCCTGAGGGAGGACATCCCTGGTGAAAAGAGGAGGAGCAAAGGCACAGAGGTACTGCGAACTTCTGCAGAGCTGCACTGAGGTCGCCGTGATCAGAGATGCTCCCAGACATGCGCCATGACCGGTTCACACTGACTCACCGCGTGTGAAGTCTTCTGGACTTCGTGGGCAGCATCGTCACGGAAGGACTGTCCAAAAGACGACCAACTCAAGTTTGAGTGGAACTTACATGACAGCTGGGATTTGACACTGGAGGAACTGGTTAGGTGGCCTACTGCAGGAGGGTAGGAGGATGGAGGAGGCTGAGAGGAGGTAGCTGTGCACCCGAAGGGGTGACTTAGGGGTCGGTGTGAGGAGTGCGAGCACAGCGTGGAGGCCCGACTGCATGGATCGGGTTCCACTCGCCACAAGTGACAATGTCTAGGTACATTCGACCCAAGAAGAGGGAGAATCCTTGGGAAATATGATAAAGGCCATCACTAGTAATGGATTAGTAAAACAGCTGCAAAGCTTTGTTCGTGGCCTTCATAGAGAAAATTATTTTAAAACACATTGCTGTATAACCAAGTGAAGAAAGTTCTGCCCTGTTTCAGGAAGTTATTTGTTTCTATTTTGTTCTCATTGTGAGCATTTACTTTTTTCAAAGCCAAAAGGCAGCATTCTAGCCATATTTAGAAGACTCATGTGCTACACTAGTATTTTCAACTGCTTTATATTCACTGTTCCAGATCACTGTGGAGTGAATTATTCACTTAATTCAGCCCATTTTTTAAAAACCTTACTTAAAAAGCTTATTAAGATACTACTCTTGGGCCACGGATTTAGCTCAGTGGTTCCGCCACCTGCCTCTCAAGCACAATGACTGGAGTTCAATCCCTAGTACCAAAAAGACACTAAGGTTAAAAGACCTACAATAAAGCAAGGAAGATCCATTTCTGATATTTCACTGATCATTTTTACCTCTTCCAGACAATGTTCTTGCACATGTTCATGACAGACTTTTAGGAGACTTCAGTTTTGGTAGTAGACACAGGTTTCAAAAATATAAGGATAATTACAAGTAAGGTAGAAATTTAACTGGGTTAAATTTCAGGTACTCAAACCAATAGGGTGGCCTAAAAAACTCAAATGGGTCTGTGAACTAGGAAACGTTCTGGTACATCAAGAAAATATCTCATCTTTTTTTAATGAGAAAATATCTTAAATGGCCATGAGTGGCTCATAGCAAATTTCATTTGAAATGTATGCTGCATAGAAGAGCTCGTTAGTAATCAAAGTCGAAGAAAAACACTTCTTGTACACAAAATTTTAATTGAGTTTCTCTCAATTATTTTTAAGTGCACTGAAACTACTAAAATGAATGTCACTTTCATGAGTAATTTATTTGGTTTTCTCTTAAAGGATATTTTCTGTAGATGAGGAAGGGGGATTTCCTAAAACTATTCTAACAAATCTTTTGATTTTTACAATCAGATCACTGGCTTCTTGGCAAAACAGAAAACTTATCTTTTGCAATTCAAAGAGTGTACTCATTATAAATTGACAACCCTTCTGAATTCTATAGAAACCACAAATGCCAAATGTCTGCCACAGCCTTGGCTCAGTGCTAACATGGAAGACAAGAATTTTTTTTTAATTATCAAAACAGGATGCTTCTGTATCAACTTATCACAGGAACATAAAATTCAACTTGTAGATTGTTCCTGGGTTTTTTAAAAGACAGCTCCAGGCCTTCTTTGGGGCAGGGAGATGGCCCTGACTTAAGTGAATCTTCTTACCCAAGTTTAATTAAACCGGCCCTTTAAAATTTTCTCCCAAGTGCATAATGATAGCTCTGTCACTTGTCTCTGTGATCTCCTCTGTAGGAGGAGGAACAGTGTCCGCTGTAAGCTACAAGGAAGCTCTGCTGGTCCTCTGGGGAAGGGGCGTTAGGTGATCAGTATGAATCCCACGTGGCCTCAGTCCCATTAGCTCCTAGGACACGCGGGTCCCCCACTGGGGAAAGCGATCTGCTTGGAAGTTCGCTGCAATGAAGTGTCAGATTTTGTGAATCACTGCCTTAATATTCATTAATAGCTTTTAGGCTTCTAATCCCCTATTGAATATATTTTCTTCCTTAATTGCTACTTTTCAAAAGGGCTGCCAAAGAAGGCATTTCTAGTCCCTGAAAAACGCAGAAGAGAACATAATGTTTTATATTCCTCTGTGATGTGCCTGCGCTAACACTGCAGCTCTAGAAAAGAGCGGCTGTGGGCTTGGAAGTGTTTTTTTGTTTTTTGTTTTTTTTTTTTGTAATCTCTTTGGGTCATGGTTTTACAATTGTCTAAAGTGCATGGAAAAAAACATTAAAGAGGAAATCATTTTGAAATGTTGAAAATCTCCACTTCTGAGTTTCATTTGTTGACTTACGTATTTTTTCCTGTAAAATCTGTCCAGAAACCCAATGTTCTGTAGGGTAATCGACTTCCATTGTTTGAGATGCTGATAGCCAATGAACGAAGTTTTCAGTAATAGAATTTGTAATCTGGCCTTTTAATTGCTTTCTTGAGAATGATCATATTTTCAAAGCCGATTTTTCCACCACAGTCAATAAAATAATGGTATGTAGATTTCATCGAGATGGGGGGAGCAAAACAAATCCCACACATAGCCTTTGTTTAATCTGTAAAGAACAGAAGGAGGAAGTAGAGGACTGGGAATAACCCCACTGAGCACAGGAGGGCCAGAAGTGTGATCTGGAATAAGCACCATAGAATTTTCAGTTCTCTTCACACCTGGCAGCGAAGTTTGCACTCTCTAGCTGTACTTCACACAGACCTGGCATCTGCTGATTTTCTGGCGCTGGGTGTGGCCATCTTTTAAGGTGTCTGGTGATGGCGCTGAGGAAAATTGCGAGTCTGGTTTCACCGTGGTCAGCCAGAAGCTGTACTCGTTTGCAAAGAAGTGACAGGTGCCCTGTCGGCCTTGGCATTCGAGGAACGGCGCCGCTCTGAAGTCCTGTAGGCAGCTGCCAGGTGACATCAGGGCCTGGCCTCCTCCTTGGTCTCCAGCTCCTGTGTGCTACCCAGACAACAACAAAGAATTAGGGCTCAGGAAGCTGCCGGCAGCCCGGCCTAGGCCTGCTTTTGACAGTCCAATAAACCATGTCCTCAAAACCCTAACCCAGTCTTGCAAGGAGGAGGACTAGGAAGCATGCTGGGAGCGCACACAAAGGAGACCCGACTGTGCGGCAGCGTTCCAGGGCAGAGCACTCACCATCAGGAAGGAGTACCCGATCCAGAGGCTCCTCCAGGTCCTGGGACACGGAGGGACAGACTGGTCCTGGCTGTGCACCGCCACCGCCTGCGCTGGGGCCTCGCACACAGCACAGCGGCTGATGTAGGGCCGGATCTCCTCCTCCGACAGCGGCGCCATGGGGAGGGGCGCGGCGCTGGCCAGCCAGTAGGACCTGTCGTTCCTCTGGGCATAGTGGCACACTTGGTGGACGTTGCAGTAGGCAAAGGGCAGCGTGCTGAACACAGGAAGGCAAGATCCCGCCAGGCCTGGAGGGAAGGGGAGATGGCCAGTGTGTGAGCAGCTCTTCCGCCGCGTGGCAGTTAGGCACACAGGCTCTGGAATGTGATAGCCGCGGCCTCAGCCCTGACCCTCAGCCCCTGGCCATTCGTCCTCCCTCATGAGCCCCAGTTCTGCACCTGAACAGGGACGCATCTGTCCTCGCAGAGCTCGGGGTCCAGGATGTGCAGATGTGAAAATCCAGCCAGCATGCCTCAGAAGGAGGAGCCAGGACCGTCCCGGAGCTCGGCTGGAAGGAGCTGCTTTACCCCAGATGTGGTTGTGCAAAGGAAGGAGCCAGGTGTGGCCATGGTGATGATGACTCAAGGAGATGCTGCCTCCCTGGGGCTCAGAGAACTCGAAGCTCAGTGAGACTCACTGCCCACTGCTGCCATAGCCTTCCTGCAGCCTCCTGCCTAACCACCACTGTCAAGGGAGGGCAAGGTGTGCCAGCGCCCAGACACTTAGATCCTTGTCTTGAAACTGCTCAGGGCAGCTCACAAACCTATGACTGAAAGTGGACAAAGAGCCCCGGTACAGTGGTGCACAGTTGGAGTCCTAGCACTCTGGGAAGCTGAGGCAGGAGGATCTCCAGCTCTAGCTCGGCCTGGGAAAACATAGCCATTTGTGAAACCTTAACTCAAGAATTAATTAAAAATAAATAGTCTGGGGATGTAGCTCAGTGCAAAGGTTCTGAATTCAGTCCCCAGTACTGCAAAAAGAAAAAGAAAGTGAACAAGGAACACCAAGCCATGTACATTAAAGTCATGTACATTAAAAACAAATGGGAGCAGGGTGGGGAGTTAGTTGATGCTGCTGACAGGTTGTTTAGCAGAACTATCAGGGGCTGCCATCCCCCACCTCAACATAAATACAGGAACCCACCACATCCCACTAAATAATTTACATTTGGAAGTAAAAATTGCATTTTATACACTTACAATAAACCCATCCAGGAAGACTGGTTTTTTCAGCACTAGCACTTAGGCCTTCATGCTGAGCTACATCCCCAGTCCTTTTCGATTTTTTGAGACAGCATCTCAGCTAAGTGACTAAGTTGCTCAGGCTGGGCTTGAATTTGTGATCCTCCTGCCTCAGCCTCCCAGAGTGCTGGGGTTACAGGTGCACACCACAGAAGAATCCTTTCTTAAAAGTGAACAATAACTGACTGCTACTTGCATATATGAAAATGATGTTTAATGCATAGGAAATATCTACACTGATGGTGGATGTTTTCTCTTAAATTGTACAGATGAACAGTTGTGAGCAGGGATTCCTCCGTGTTTATTTAAAAAAAAAAACAAAACGATAAATGAAAAAA